AGAGAAAGAGAGAGCCAGGAATATAATGGTGCGGCTATTGTGGGAGAGGCCGAGAAAAAAGGTGGATGGATGGACAGCAGAAAGCCAAAGTGAAGACAGCAGATAGAATGTCTGAAGACACTACTGTTTGAAAGGTTGATCGGTCTCCATCCCTTTAACCTTCACTCTGGTTCTTCGTACCTCTTTGCTGCCGCACCTTTTTGTTCCACCTCATCATTGCACCTCGGTCTGCCTCCAAACCCCTTAAACTCCCTTCTTTCTCACCCTTTCTCCCGTAATAAAAGGTGTCTAGAATTCACAGGGCTTGATCTGTGCATAGGGTGTTCTTGTATCAGGGTCTAGAAGCCCATTAAAACTCATCATTACCTGCTCCGTCACAAGAGAGCTACCAATTAGTAGCCTGTGTGATCAAACGGTGTGCACGCCCCAACTCCCTCTATGATACACGAACATGACCGGCGCAGCACCAGTCAACTTAAAACCTGCAATTGAAACGACACAAGCAGCTTGTGTTGACCTGTGGCTGGAAAGCCAAACTCCACTTGTCGAAAACATATCAACCACGAACTTGGTACTATATATTTCCGGTTAACATAGAGTACTAATCAAAGGTTTGGACACACCTGGTACTGTAACTTGACATGACTGGATCCAAATTGTCTTATTCTCTTTTTTCCAACATGTGTGAACTGAAACCCAACATCAAAGTCTAGTTGGAGGAAGATGCCATTCAACCAGGCAGGTGTTGGCTCTATATGTAAATGTTGCTGCCCATCTGCTATGTACCCGCACTTACTTAGAACAAATTATCCTCAACTTTTGCCAGACTAAGAAGAGGAGGACAGGGTGAGGTAAGGAAGGGTTGGAGGCGGAACTACAGAACCCAATATACTGTATATCAGCTAAAGCAGACTGGTAACTTGGCATGAAGACAGAAAGCTTTGGGAGAGAGTAAATAGGGATGAGAATCCGAACGGTGTGGTTAATTGCTTCCACCTGGTTGGGAGTGGCAAAGGAAAATAAGCAAGACGCGAGCGTGACTGAGGGGGCGTGTGCACAGCTAAACGTGTAGGTCAGCTAGGTTTGGCATCTTGCACTCATTTAAAGTCAGACAAGATACCTGCGTGTGTGTGTGTGTGTGTGTGTGTGTGTGTCTCACAGGAGAGTTCAAACCGTCCAGAACAGACTTCTCAGACGAGAAAAACTGTAGATCCATGGCTCACTGACGTTTGAATCAACTTTACTGTGATCTGAATGGTGGGTTTTCAAAAATCCCACATAAACAAATCATAGTCACGGCTCCTCCAAGATAAAAAATGTCTCGTTTTCGCTCATTGGGATGGCGTCGCGGTCAATCATTTTGCGACAGTAATCGTAGGGTCAAAGACTACAGAAGCATTAAATACAACCAGCCAAAGCTAGATAACTCCCCGTGATTGCAGGATGAGTTAACAGCCTCCCAGTGGCCACTTTGTCTTCCTTTGACACTCTAAAACCACTCGCCTGAAGGACAGGCAGATCCCAAAAAAACCTAAAACGAATGTTCCCATGACAACAACAAAAGAAAAACACAGAGCAAGCTGCAAGTAGAGTCAGCTCTCAAGAGTGTGCTTCATATGCTTGTCAGTCCCTCTCCAAGGACTCCCAGAGGACTGTGTGCGAGTCTTAGTGGAGCCAGATGGTCCCCATCTTATGTATTCAGCTGAGGCAGTGGAGCAAGCAGTTGTCACAGTCGATCCAAAATGCACCTTTCCATCGCCACCAACAAAAACATCCACTCACATATAGAAGACAATGTGGGGTTGTGTGAGACAAGACGGGGCCGGCGTTTAGCGTGTCTATAATGTCTTTTGCATGAATAAATGTCTGCAGAGTTGTCAAGTGTTTGCATGTTTGTGTGCATGTTTTTGTAGATGTGCGTTACTGTAAGCCCATCCAGTGTTCAAGTTGGTGATGTGCATGCACATCGGCAGTATGTGTGTGTTTAGCCTTGCTGCATGTGCACACATCTCTATCAGTGCTGCTGAGCATTGAAGTATGTAAGCTGTATGCTCGTGTTCCTTTAAATAATGTATTTTTAATTGTTTTGTGCTTTGACAAAGAAAAGAATGGACTGCAGTCTTCTGTGTGTGCATATGTGTGTGAGTGAAAATAGATAATTACAGAAGGACTATATGGATTATAGCCGTTGTAGGTGAAGATTCAATCATTTTTCTTAGTGAAATTGAAAGTATTAATGATCATTTATGGTTTCAGGGAGTTCCTTGACTAATTGATTGATTTTTTCCAATTAATGTGTTTGCAAATGTAAAAATCATACGCTGTTTTAAGTCAGGTATTGTAATAGGCATCAAAAAGAAGCGTGTCATCCCACTTCTCCCCTGTCCTATACTTATTTTTCTTTGGGCAGTAGTAGAACAAATAAGAAATTATATTTTGAAGAGATGTTAAATGGAGTGTTTATCACTGGATTGTTTAAACATCACAGTGCCTCCGCAAATAAAATGCAGTAATTAGGGACGAGGTAACTAATATGTATACAGGGATATGAATGACATTAAGTCCAGAATATGATAATAATAGCTGAGATAGACAGGAAGAATCCATTTATGTGCCCTAAGTGAACAGTGACATTGTCGTATAAGCGATCCATGTTGGTTTAAATCTATGTAATTATTTTTGGGACTGGGAGCGCGTGTGTCTCGGACGGTATTTCCTCACAAATGGCCATGGCTTTCCGGCCAAGCCAGCCATCGCGGCGACCCATTTTCTGCCTCTCCACATCGCACCCCACAGCTCCTCTGTTTATTGTGGATGTGTCCCCTGTGCCTTGTCCCATATCCTATAATCCTTTGCCCTTGTCCCAAGAACCCAGGTTCTGATATTGTCCTCCTCACCTGTTCTATATTGCCAATCATCAACAACACCCACCTTTGTCTCCCTTCATCTTTGGCCAACGTTTCTCATCCCCCCCAATTTTCCCTCTGGTTTTGCTCCACTTTCATCTCTGCTATCGTGTCCTCGCTGCATTCATTCTCATTTATTTTCTCACTTTTTACCCATTTTCCCTTTGCCCTAAACACCTTTTTCCATCCACAAATCTCAGTGTTTTATATAAATGAAATTATAACTCTCTTCTTCCACATTTTCTATTTTTCTCTCTTTATCATTTCTGATCTCCTTTCAAACAGGTTCAAACAGGGGGACCCGACCTCATTAAACATGGAAAACGAAGACGACACCTCTGCTGCTCGTCTCGCACCTTCCACCTCCATCATCACACTCTCATCCTTCCTTCACTGCCGGGTCTTGCCTGGGTCTGAGAGATGCCGTCTTCTTCTGGGGCTCTAGAGGAAACCTTGCTGAGTTGATTCCAATAATTTTTCATTTTCCTCCCGCTCCTGTGGACCGCCTTGGGTTTGTCCTTTGGTGTTTTAACACAACTGCACACACTGACGTGCACATGCCTTGGCTTGTAGTTTGCAATTAGGTCTCCTGGTTTTCAACTTCCTGATTCAAGCCTGTCTGTATGTGGCAAAAGAACTTCCGGACATGTTTTTCACAGTACCGCAAAAAGTCGGGTTTAGACCGTTAATAGCATATGTTTAATTAGCATGATTGAATGTCATTATTTTTTGGAAGGCTAAGAGTGTGATTCCTACTAGTTGTTGTTCCTCCATACAAAACCTACACACATGAGCCTACAAGGAAATTTCCGATTGAAAGATCCAAGAACCGGCGGACTGTGAGTTCATCAGCATCAAAGGTCTATAGATACAGCACCAAACCTCAAGAGTACTACAGTCACAAAGGGGGAGGCACATGTAAACTATAATTCTAATTACCACAATCCAAACTGTACAAAGAGTTTTGAAGGGCCCGTGGGGCTTTGGATCCCTTTAAGAACCAAAATCACGCTTCCATTGGGGGGGGGGGGGGGGGGGGTTGTTGCTAACAATAACTAACCCAGGATGTTGGGCCAGGCTTCCTATCCCTGGTCCAACACCCCACCCCACCACACTGCCTGTGGATTCGAAAGCCAAGAAGGCCTAGCTTGTGTGCTGCCAGACAGCCAGCAATAGCTCCGCTTCATCCAGTACTGGAAATATGGCAGATGGCGGCAGGAGAGAACAGAAGAGAAGGCGTTGTGTGTGTTTTTGTGTGTGTTTTTGTGTGAGTCAATATAAGACAGAAACAGGTAGAACGATACAGAGGAAAGCACGACTATGCAACCACATGCTTCCTCGCTTACAATACTGTCCAAGATGTCCTCTTAGGGACATCTAGGGCTAAACAAATGGTGTGGTATATTTTCTGAATCTAAACACATGTGAACTAGCAGCTATAGGAGCAGATCAATGATAGAAGGTTTAGCAGTTATGGTACATCTGTTTACGTGTGACAATGTGTCTTCGAACACATCCGTCCACCGCTGTTTCCATTCAGGGATCTAGTGGGCTTTCATAATGAGCAAATGCAGGTTCACCTCTTTAATGAATGGACAGTTGATGGATCCCTGATAAACAGCTTTCACAGCATGATTACGAGTCTATTTTAGGCCATAACACGCATCTGCACAAGAGCCTGAAGGGTTCACTATCCAATTTTTCACATGTATTCCTTAAGCTTCTCTAGTGACAAAGTAAAAGCTTAAGCTTATATAGTAGTGTTAGTATGTTAAAGCGTGTATCGCTATAGCTTTACACAAGAAGTCAACATTTGTATGTTTAATAAGTAAACATCTAATAAGAAGTAGGAGTCTTGTCTGCAATGTAAGACCCAGCTGACCAGCGTTCACAGCTAAAGCCAAAAAGGCTTACCAGGCACATACTTGAGTAGAGCAACTCAAAGGAAAGAACAGCCCTCACGCTGGCAGGTGCTTTACAAAAACCCAAAGACAAGATGTCATCACAAAAAACTAGAGGAGCTCACGGACGTCCACTCTGATGATTCGTCCTGTAGTTACCCCTCCGCACTCTGTTTCCAAATGCAGGACTCACCTCGGATGATGGACAGCTTGGCGTTAATAGTGACCTCTGCCTCGCTGTTCTCCGCAACGCATTCATAGATGTTCTCGTCACGAGGTGCTCGGAGAGGCTGGATTCTGAGTACGGCGCCGGCACCCTCGTCAAACTCGATGGTCTGTGGGGCAGAGTCATCAACACGGGTGGGTTAGAGATTTCTAAGCGTGACTTGGTGTGTGAATAAATTGCTAGCAGGGTTAGGGTTGAGCTTTACCCAAAACCAAAGAAAACCTACTGGGTGAGTTACATACTGATACCCTTGGTAGGGCAATCACTGCCGTAGTGCCCCTTGAGCAAAGCACTACCCCTGACTGCCTTCTGATTTTAGTCGGAGGGACTGTTAAAGAAGACGGTCCGCTTGTCTCCCAGAGGACCTTTCCTCCCATAATCGATCGTTCCTGAGAGGAGCTTACACCGTCCCAACGAAGGGCTCAGTACTGAGAAATCTGAGCAAAGCACGACTTTGAGAAACAAGCCCAAGTCTTGAGCCGTCCTGCTGCTGCGCCGCTGCTGCACATCTCAGGGCTGAGCCACTAATTAGGCTCAAAACACTGCAGAGCACGGCACCATCGATCTAAGGCATAGCAGCTGTCGAGAGCGAAGAACAGGGGGGAGAAAAATCATAACTGCTTCAAAACCTCCTTTCAAATGTTTTTTATTTTAGCTAAACGGAGGGAGAGAAGTGTCCGATCTGGCGGCTCCTTCACGCCCTTGGCTTTGTTTCCCCACTAAGCATGCGGGAGAAGGGTTCGTACAAACAAAACCTGTCCTCTGTTGAGATGCTGCTGCAGTACCCTGTTGATGTTGTCATTTCTTTTTTGTTGCTTTTTTAACCCCCTCCCTTGTGGTTGTCTTCATGCTGCTGCGTGTGCACGTCTGTCTCTGTGTGCGCTGCCGACGTTAACAAAAGCAACTTTTTTAATTAAGAGAAACTGAGCATCAATCAAGACTTTTACAGATGCCATCTGGGGCGCCTGCCGAGGACTTGAACAACAAACATCATGAATAACGCACACATAGGACGGTTCGCATAGACAAGGGCGGTATGCAGAAAAATAAGCATTGCTCCAAAACAAGAAAGGGACAACGGAGACAAAGTCAGTCAAGTGCAAAGACGACAGAGAGGTAGGAATGGCCGGGCACGTCGCGTTACTGCAGCTAATTGTGGAGCTGTCTGGGTGAAATGTTGGTGAAGAAACAGAAACATTGTTTTCCAACCCAACTGCAATAAGAGACTGTACTTGTGATGTGAAAGTGGTGTGTGGCGGCATAAAAAAAAAATACATTTTGGCAAATAAATATGAAAAAATCTGTGTTGCGTGACATTTCAGTAAGGTGGTGCAGGACAGCGTAGAGTCACGCAGCAGGGCTCCCGGGCTTACCTCTATACGCTGGGAGTTGACCTTCTTGCCTTTCTTGTTCCAGCTCACCCTCGGCTTGGGGTCGCCCGTCGCCTGGCACACAAAGGAGACCACGCCCCCTGAGACGCCAATCTGGTCGACGGGAACTTTGGTGAACCGCGGCGGTGCTTAGGGAAGACGAGGACGGGGGGATCGAGAACAAGAGAGAGGAAAGAGAGAAAGACGTTAGCAGATGCCGAGAGACAATATGCCGCTGCCTTGTTTCCTGTTGAGGCAGCGCTGGATAAGTGGGATTACCTTTAGGGCCTAAAGCTTATTTTCTAAACACACAGTTAGGCGTCTCTGTAATGTCACACAATCCCACACTTTCTTCTCTCCGACCTCCCGTGCATTTTCACTCACTCATTCACTCAGCATCACGTACCCACACGCACAGTCGGGTAAAGTTGTTGGTAAGTAATGAGACACAGCCAGGCTCAGCTTGGGAATGACACAAAATAAAAAGATATACATAGATTCAGACAAACAAACAAACTGTTACCTCATCACCGATATATCCATTGTGATCTATCGACATCTAAAAAGGTTTCGCACTGGTTCTCTTTTTCTTTGTTGAGAAAAGGCATCCTCTTTAACCACTGCAGCAAAGATGATCTTACATCACACCCTAAATCAACTTGCATTGAATAAAAGAAATGTGAATTTCCTCATTTAACACACCAGTTTCAGTGCTAAAAAGTTCTGTGTGTAAATCATGACTCCGTCGATCGTGTTCCATGGTGCGGATAATTAGTAGCGTGAAAATGTTGTCATAGAGAACGTAGGTCTGGATATCATCAGCGCGGTAGCAAGCCCTAAGAAAAGGGAGGTTTTGCTTTATTCGATGTTATTTTAACAGTGTGAGACCACTTTTTCTGTTTGGAATTGAAACAAATCCCACATGCAATGGTTTAATTCCCCCCTTCCCCCCAAATATTTGCAGGCGTTGAACTAAGAGACTTTGTTCAGCCTGTCCATCAAAAAAATAAGCAATTTTGGTGCAGATATTTTGCTCATGTCTTGGTTGCAGATGCTTCAAAACAACAAGCCCGCTAGAATTAGAGAGGGAGAAAAAAAACGATACTCCTGGGAAACTCGTTGAATTGGAATCATACAGATATGAGAGGACGATCAAACAGCTACCGCATAACGTCAAATTAATAATTAAGGAACCATAGGCCGACACCAGTCTCGAGGCACTACTAAACACATATAAAGGAGAGTTTCTGCATTCATTATTGAGCAAGGAGAGATGGGGAGTGGATATTTAGAGAGAACGAGGCAGAGAGAAATAGTGTAGGACAAGGGAAATGAAAAGGAGGACGAGTGTACTGCTTCAGGAAAGAAGAGGCGCGGCATGCAAAGTTCATCTGGACGCCCCCAAGTAGTAGGCACAAACATCCCTAAAGCAAATACTAAACCAGAATACATCAACTTTGTTTAACTGTTGCTGGTTAGAAACATTTCAGTAAAATACAATTTTTTAACAAATACCAAAATGTATTTCTGCCCCCACTTACCAGTGTAAGATCGCAATTAATCGCGATTAAATGAATTTCAAATTTGAGATAAATTTATTTATTTATTTTTGACTATTGACAGCCCTACTTTTTTTTACATCTCAATTGCCATTCTTGAACCGCACAACACTTCTCCTCTGCAGTTGACCTCCTCTCACAAAGCGCCCTCTGTCGAGACAGAAAAGGGATTCACACAGAGCAGCCCTGTGGCAGTGGTTCTGCTGAAGGCCAGTGCTGTGTGATTAGTTTTCCCTTGGACCGTTTGACATTTTCGACCAGTCGCCTTCTCCCTCCTGCTTTACCACATGAGAGAGATGTTCAGTACAATGAATGCGCTGGCCCGCATGTCAGAAGTGACATGACTGAATTTCACTCTTGATAGATTCAGGATTTCCTCATAATGTGCTGAATGTAGTTTTCAACATTACCTCAGGAAGATTTAATAATAATAATAATAATAGATTTAATAAAAGCGAAGGAGCTACCAGAAAAGAATGTCTGAAAAGAGGAGGGCAAGAGGTGGTGGGAGGTCAGTGAAAATAGCAGGAGTGGAGGGAACAGGAGGTACGGGGACTACAAAAGAGGGAGGTTAGAACGGAAAGTGCAGAATACAAATCATGTATCAGAAACTTTTAAAATGCTAACCTCTTATTTTGTGATTCTTCATACATACTGTCAGAATGCAGTTTGAAAGGTGGCTGGTACTGATTACCTTTACTTTTCCTTGAACTATACACAACGTCCTGTCATCTCTGTACAATATGTCCAGTGACAATGTACTCTCAGCGAGTCTGATTCACTAGAACCACATACACGGCCTAAAGCCACACCTAATAACACCTATTAACCTAATAATAATAGTTTTTAAATGTTGTTGAATGGCATTCTGGATTCTTTTGAAAACTGAACATGTCTAAAAAAGTGCAGTTGAAAATATCCACCATGGCAACCAACCGAGGCAGCACTTAAAACTGAAGCAGTCATTCAGCCTACTTTGACCCATTCACGTGACGCCGCTGTCATGGGTTATTTTTGTTGTCAAAAGACTTTAAAACTGGCAAAAACCTGGGAGCCATGGAATTACACATGATTATAGTTTCAGGTCTACGGTCTCCCTTTCACACACTTGACCACTGATGTGCTTTTTCAAATGCATTCCTTTGTTTTTAGTCAGCCGTCCCATGAATGTCTACTAGTGTAATTATTACGGGCATGCAGTGTATGATTGTGTGAATTATGATGAGCATAATTAACCATTTTTTATTTTTATCCGCTGTGTGCCTTTGCGCTTCTGGCACCGGTTGACATCGGCTTTCATTTTTCAGAAATTTAAACCTTGAAATGCATTCAGTAATTGCAGGCCGGAAAAGGTTGAGTGGCATTAGGATTAGAGTACAAACAATGGGTGATGGCACCGAATATTTTGCCACTGTCAGCCCCTTTATTCGGCAGGCATCTTTGGTTCTAATGGGTTAAAATATTTAGGAAGTCTAAAATAAAATCCTTAAATATAGTTCTATTCTCTATGACTATAAAACATACTTTAGAATATCCACTGATGTGTACCTGTATTTACCTAGGGTACAGAGTTCAGACACCTATTTAATCCATCAACCAGCGTGCGTTATGTTGCCATAGACGACATTGAAAGGACTTTGCTCCTGCAGTGGCCATTTGTCCTTGGGTACCAACATATCGCTCTATTCCCCAAGCTTCCCTCAGACAGACTGATGTCCAGCACTGCCCAGATAACCACACAAGAACCATCTTTATCTGCCTGGCAGGGGGAACATGGGCAGAGCGGAAATAACCAGCAGTGGGGGCCTTGCTATCTTCACAAAGCCCAGAGAATAGAACAGATCCAGGCAAACAAAAGCGGCTAGCAAGAGGAGAAAAAGACTCACGCTGGGCCCACAGACGGTTGTTAAGCTAATACAGCTACCACCCGCTACTGTCCACCACCTCTGTTGGACCTGATAACACAGAATACAACGGCCCTGTGATTATAGAGTGGTGGAAAGTGGGAGGTGGGTATGTGAATATGACACGGCTCCATGTGCACTTCCTTTTTGTTGTCGTTTGGTAGTGGGGGTATAAGAGGGTGGATGTAGCTGGTTTTATGACTAATACAGTAATTGACGCAGAAAAGCTTCTTGGGTCATAAATAGGAGCCATTATCTGCTGAATTAGTAAAGTGGAAGACAAAATGGTGCACAGCCATTTAGTGATTTGCGGGGAAAGGCAGAGAATTGGGTAAAGGCACTATACATCTTGCTACAAATGGATGTCTTTCACATGACGTAGAGACCTTTTCTCCAGCAATGTCTGAACAGAATGTTTGGTACTATTAGGGGGGACACTAAAAGCAAACTACTTCGACTTTCTTCTGCCACTGATGTGGCAGTCTGGGAAGAGGGTGTGGTCAGGTTTATGATGCAGATATTATATCAATTTAATTGTATAAATACAATAGTTGTATGGAAGCAAAAAGTACCTTTGACTGCCTATGTGTAGTACAAGCTTTGGTATTTTCCAGTATGTTTACTAAATGGGGATGAGAAACATGAATGACGTTGCGTTACTGATTTACAGTTGATTTACTCAATAATCCTGGCTAAGATTAAATTTATTTTCATATTAGTCCAACAGGAGACACATGACACACACACACAGAAACACACACACACACACACACACACACACACACAGTGGCATTGTGAACACTGACTGCTTCTGGGAACAACCAATGAGGGCAGCAATTTGGCATCCCGACATGATTCAGCCCTTTTTTTTTTATTATCCAATAAGTCTTACTGGAACTTTGGATATTTTGTATTGATTTGGTATGATTACTGAGTAATTTCTAAACTTTCTGACTTCATTGTTTATCGGTAACAGACCAAAGTCAAACGGACTAGCAGAGCCAAGAGATGTTGCTGACGGATCTCTGAGGGGTGGAGATTTACCCAGCTTGCAGTATCCGCCTAAAAGCTATCCTAAAGACTCAGCACGCCGCCAAGCAGCTAGAGCTGCCAGTCTATCAGTCCTGGACCTGACTTAAAACCCTAGAAGCCTTTATCAGCACACACACACACACACACACACACAAATATACTCATGGAGGGATAGAGGGGGGGATAGATGACATCCAGATAGAGATGGAGATGATGATTTAACCAAATGTGTGCCTACGTTGATGCATCAAACAGAACACACACCAATACGTGTACAAACGATTTGATCATTTGGTCTCTGTAGATCGCACACACCCTTCAAGCGACGAAGCCCAATCAATCAGGACCAATTCTCGGAGCCAGCCTGAGCAAGCCCCATAACCATGGAAACCAAGCCTTTACTCTAAAGCTGTCATGCTTTGTCTTGTCTGGAGGTTTGCACACGCAATCACTGCCAACATGGACGAGCACACTCCTGGAAAAAACCTCAACCTGGCCAGGGAGAGAGAAAGGAGAGGAAAGAACTCGGTCGGTCTTTCGCCAATATTTGATGGGAACATTTCTGATGGGGAGATGTGAATATCTGAAACAGCTTTGCTTGATAAGCATACATGCACTGCTGTCCCAACTAAAATGTGCATCCCACTGTTGAAT